GCACTGGCTCGGTGTCACGAGCATCCACGAGCAGGTCACCGAGAGGTGGTTCCGTGCCGTCGCACTTGTCCGCTGCCGCCAAGGGCAACTCAAGTAGCGAGTAAGCCAGCGCGCGTTGCGCCGCCAGAGCCAGCATGCCCGTCCAACAGTGCAACCGCACGGCCGGGTGTAGCCGCGCGGGGGTCTCGCGCGAACGAGCCTTTGCCAACTGCCGTGAGAAGGCCACGGCCTCCGGCCGCCAACCTCCAGGGCGAGCACAACCAGTTTGCAACGGTGCGCGACCGCAAGCTCTGGGTATGTGTGGATGCGTTTGCGTTTCGCCGCCTGTTCAAGCGCTGTGCCAGGGACACGATCGGCATGTGGTTGCGCGTCGCCCGCCCGCGTAACGCGCGAGACCAGGGTGGTGTCGACGGCCGGCCGGGCGCCCCGTGCACCGGCTTCGCGGCAGACTCGAGCCGCGGCCCTTTCCAAGGCTGCCCCGCGCGCTCCGAGAACACCGGCAGCCGGACAAGCTGTACGGTGGTCACCCAAGGCATCGAGTGCACCTCCACACCGCCGTGGCCCGATTGGCACGGGCAGCCGCAGGCGTCTGAGCAACACGACGCGGAAGCACGAGCCCGACAGTCGGAACTTCGGAGTTGTGGGAAGTGCTGTTAGGGCACGGGAGCCGCCAGGGCCTGCTTGGAACAGCATCAACGCTCGCGAAGCCGGGTCAAGGTCAGAAAGAAGGCTCGTGCAAGCGGAGGCGTCCAAGCAGGCCGCGGCGGCTCGCTGCCATCCTCGCAGCGGCTCTCCAAGGGTGCGCTCAACAAGCGCAGGAGGCGGGTGCCCGCCATCGGCAAGTTCATCCCACGCCGGCAACGCGAACCCGGCTTCCTGCAGCCGCACCGCTGCCTTTGCTAGTTCAGCGAGGTTAGGGGTTGCCTCGTCAGTGCCCTCCAAGCTGGACAACTGCACGCGGCGGATGGCTTCCGCCACAACACTCGGGTGACGTTGGTGCAGGATTGGCAAAGTATCTGCCCAAGATGCCCAGTATGCCGCATCTCGGCCTTCCGGGGCACGGCGTAATCCCAAGCCTCCGAGAACGCAGCCCGTCTGCGGCCGAGGTCATCAATGTGTATGGGGGATTGGCGAGGAGGTCGGCCAAGCAGCGTGTAATTCCGCCGTCGTGTGTGCGTGCAAACTCGTCCGTGAGGGACGGCGCCAGGGACCGGAGGAGGCAGTTGCTCCGTGGAGCGGCACACATGAGTAGAAAGAGCCACGCCGATTGAAGGTCAGACATGCTTGGGATTCGATCCAGCAAGCGACCATGGCTCAATCCCTTAGTCCTGAGGGCGTCCTTTTTTGAAGGCTTCGCTCCCAAATGGGGTGCCGAGCACGAGGAAGCCTTGTTGTTGAGGCGGCAGGGAATGGTCACGAACCCACACGTTCGCCTTCCCCGGCGCCGTAGGGAGCACTTCAGTAAGGCCTGGCGGCTGTTCGCCTGTGGAGTTCCATACGCGCGTTTTGCCGATGTGCACATCGATGTTGGTGTGGCGTTTGAGCGCCGATCGCAAGGTGACGAATGCGGCGCATGCGTCAGCTGGGTCGCATGCCACATACGTATCATCCAAAAACGCATAGAGGTCGGAACGCGGCCCGAGTTCGGCGTGCGCCGCCAGAAGGGCCGGGTGGAAGCCGACTGCGACGAGGCCCGGCATGAGAGGGACGCCTTGTTCTCCCCCTTCCGCCTGGACTGCCGCGTGTGCCTGTCCTGAATGGTCGTAGAAAATGTACGCGCTTTCGCGGCCATAGAATTGGCGAACAAAGGGCATCAACGAAGCCAGGCGTGCATTTCGGCGGAGGCCTTCGAACATTGCCGCCCTTGCTATGTGGTCGTAAGCTTGAAACAGGTCAATTGCCAGCAGTGGCCTGCAAGGATGGGATCCAGTTTATGCGAGATGTCGCCCACGACAATGGTCACGCCCCCCTTAACGTACAAAAATAATGAAACATGGTGACAAATACTTTCATAGGCTGGCTCCTCCCCTCACCCCGCTCCCCTTGAAAGGGGGGGCCCTGTTGCAAAGCTGGAAAAATTTGCTGGCGGCTGGCTGCCTGACGGCTTGATCAACGGATCTTCCGGATCACCGGATTTTCTTCGGCCTGGCAGGTTATTCACACAGGATTGATTCTGGAAGGACACGCTACAAAAAAAAACGCCCACTTCCAAGCTCACATCCGGCTGCGGCCCTCACTATCGGAGCAAAGTTTCCCACCGGAAGTTTACCTCTTCCGGATTTGGAAATGATCATGTTTTTATGGTTTTCTAAATCGCCTTCATCCTATGGTGACATGTAAGTCCATGGCGCAAGGTCTGCGTGCAAAATGAAAAAAATGAAAGCCGCTTGCGCATGTCGCGAATCACATTCATTGGAAGCCGGAGGGTCGCGGCAAGCTGCACGCATAGGGAAAATACGGCCAACTAACTTATCCGTTCGATTGTCATGCTTGATGGCTACACGTCGGTTGGCCGATGGAACACACTGTGGTATCTGCAACCGTTGGGGCCTGGGTAAACAATGATCTCCTCTCATCCAGCCCGGTTGATCAAACAAGCATGTAGCTTCCGACACTGAGCTTGCCGACAATCAAGTGCGATGCTCTGGGGACAAAACCCTTGAGCATGCGGGCCCGGGCTGCTCGCATGCAGCGGGAGAGCGGGGTCTCGGCCATCGGTCCATCTTTCTCCACACACAGTTCGAAGCGTATTTTGTCGGACCAGTATTTCGGGAGGGTAAGGCTGTTTGCCTTGTGTATTCGTCGTAATATTACGGTAATCCATTGACGACAGAGCAATTCATATTCGTGCTCCCCGGAAGAGCCTGTATTCGTGGTTCATCTCGCCACCACCATGCTAAAAACATAATCTAGCTCGCAGCCGCTGGTGCCAACAAACTCGCGGACGAAACAACTTGTCCTTGCACACTTTGCTTTGCACAGATCCAGCAGTGAGCACAGCTGGAGACATTCTGCGCAACGTTGCGTTTGTTGGCGCTGTGCCAAGCAGCTGCCGCGTGTGAGATGTGATCCGAGCCGTAGCGCCGTAGTTGACAATCGTGTCAATCATGTGCATGTTCGCAGCTGATACTACTACGACTACGACTTCTACTACCACCACCGCTACCACTACCAGTACGTCTACTACTACTGCTGCTGTTGCTGCTGCTGCTGCTGCTGCTGCAAAATTCTATATCAGAAAATGGTGCACGCGCACGTAAGCCGCACAAACGGCGGATTCTCACTTGTTACCCAAGGCCCACTTGGGCGGCCGCCCAACCCCATAGCTGCACCAGAGCGCGCAAGAGCGGCTGGACCAACAGGAAGCTCAAGCTAAAAACTCCTGCCGAGGGCACCTGCAAAGGACGACGACTGAGGCGAGTAGTTACAATTATAGCATGTCATAGCAGAAGATATGAAACACCAAGTAGACACCCAAACGCAACGACCCCCCCAGAGTGATTCCCCCCGCACCCCAAGTACTGCCGCCCGAGAAGGGAGAACACAACAACTGCTATACCCCCGTTCAAGTGATCATAGAAAAATTGCATATTTGATCGCGAATCGAATGCCAACCGTTGCCCGTTCCTCCTTCGGCTGCGGGTCATGATGATCGTTGGCTACACTATTCCTCCACGAGGTCTGGGCCTTGTTGATATCTGGACTAATGCATGATGATTCGGCAGCTGGCGATGCCGGCCATGATGACAGGCTGCTGCTATTGCTGTTAACGCCACCTGCCCTCGTGACGATGGTGGGTGGTGGTGACGCCGATACCGCCGATGATGATGATGATGGTGATGTTGATGATGGCGATGATGGGGATGATGGCGATGATGATCATGATGATGATGATGATGATGACGGATTTGATGGTTGAGATTATGCTGCTGTTGATATTCAGGATGGCCGATGACTCGATGATGTTGATGCTTAATTGTTCGTGAATTCGCGCCAGGGTTTTTGCGTGTTGTGCAGCTAACGAAATGAAACGATTGGCCGGTGATTTGTTGAAAGTTTTTTTCAAGTTGTTACATGTGACAAAAGTTTTCCATTGGGTGTACATCACGGAGAAGACCTGGTGTAAGACTGCAAACAGCGCATTCCTCAACGATGGGTTGCGTCAATAAGCTCTCCCCATGCCAACAGGTTTTCCTTTCAAATTTGCTGCTTTCCCTTTTCACCCTTTTTGTTGCCTGATCCCTTGGTCTACCGACCTTCCGCACAGAAGGCTGGCTAAGTTCAGTCACCGCGGCCAGTGGCAGCGCCTGATCTCTCGCAGGGAAAGCTCGCGTCCGCTCGGAAGTGCAGCAGCAGCAGCAGCAGCAGCAGCAGCTGCCTTGCAGAAAGCGCGCTGCACGGCGACGGACAGCGTGCACCGAACAAGTGTTCTGGTCCTGTGAGATTCCCTGAATGCGCGCCGTGCGTGTTGTGGGTGCTGTTGTGTTGCCCGTCATCTGTTTGGCGCTCGTCCACGGGAACCCAAGAGGCCAGCGCGGGGGCAGGTTGTGCGGTGGTCAACGGCGGCGGCGACAGGCTGCAGCGTCCGGCGAAGCACGGGGCCCAGAAGACAGGTGAGTCCAAGGTGAGCTCGTGACAGGAGGGCGGGGCAGTGAGAACCCTCGACGCAAACGGCCCAGATTGAGATTCGAGCAGGGTGAGGGAAGTGGGGTCAAGCGCAGCACTGAGGTGGCCGGCCAAGCCCTCGTCGACAGCACGCCAGCTGGCACACTGCCACCCTCGAGTAGTGTCGACAGGCTCGTCGGGGTCTGCAGGGAGGTTGGCCCACACCAAGGCTTCAGGAGTCGATCAACACGACCGGACCGATGCGCCTGGACATAATCGTCTATGGTGCATCGCCTATTGTGGGTCCTTATGGGCCTATGGGTGGCACACTAGTGCGAAACAACCCATTTTTGGAATAACCGCAGTATCTCACAATGCTGTATCATGCGACATACGGCGAGACCAGGTTTGTCTTTAGGGGTCTTGTGTGGTGTTGGGTCCCGTAGCCAACTTGAAACCTCTTCCGAACCCCGGGCCGCCTCTTTTCCCCACGCAGGCCCATCTAGGGTCTGGAGCACATGTGGTCATCCACATGTGAAGGCTGTGCACCTATGGAGCATCGATCAAAGCCGGCGGCCCTTACTGGCAGGAATATCCTGAAACGCCCACACACTCCAGGCTTTGATAAATGCTCCTTCGGCACCGAGACATCCCCAGACAAAAGAAGGCCAACACGAGAGGTCTCCCAAGAATCTCGTAATGAGTTCAGGTTTTAGGTTAAGGGTTTAAGGCTTTAGGGTGTAGGGCTTCGGGTTTAGGGCTGCCTGACACTTACTGCTATCACTGACAGAGTGATGCCCTTCCTTTTGGCCGTTGAGTCCCGGAGCAACTGGCTCCACCAGCTGGATCGCACGACTTACAAACATGCTGAATCGGGCTGAGCTCTCTCTGGATTTTAAGACCTACCGCTTGAACTCTAAGATCCGAAATATATATATATATATACATATATACATATATGTATATATGTATACACACATATATATATATATGTATTTATTTATTTATATGAGAGAGGCGCCTCTAGGGTCTATTTGACGCCCTATTTTTTCCTATACGATTAGTAAGAATATAAATAATAGAAACAATTGAAATGATTGAAATCAGCAGGGCCGATTTCAATTACTTCAATTATTTAAATTATTTGGGCCACCCGAAGAATCGAAATAATTGAAACAATTGAAATCGGTGGGGTTTGTGTTTAGCCACGAACCCCACCGACTTGAATTATTTAAATAATCGAAATACTTGAAATAATTGAAATATTTGAAATCCGGCCGATGTCAATTATTTCGATTATTTAAATTATTCGGGTGGCCGAAAGAATCGAATAATTGAAATAATTGAAATCGGCCCCATTTCAATTGTTTCAATTATTCAAATCCTGGTGTTCGGCGGCTTCGGCCCACCGAACCACAGGATTTCAATTATTTCAATTATTTAAAATATTTTGATGGCCGAAAGAATCGAA